TTTTTTTTTTTTCGTCCAAACTACTGATCCCACCTCCTCTCTCTCTCTCTCTCGGTCTCGCCGCAGCCGTCGGCGAAAAGGTTGGTAGCATTGATCCGTTAATTCTTGCTGTTGTTGATCTCGTCTTGAGTTTCGGCGTCTCCGGACATGCCGTTCGATTTTGATCGAGGCTTTTCACGACCGGTTTTCCCTTTTTTTCTCTTCTTGCATCGTGAGGGTTGATGCATATGTCGTTTGGGATCGTTGGTTGATTCTGATGTTTGTTTCGAGTTTTTGGACACATAAATCATTTTTCTGCCTTTCTTTCTCCTGCCAATTCTTGCTATTGGCGAAATTAGGGTTTGCTTGAAATGGAGCTTTGTTCACCTGGGAACATGAACCGCGTGGCTATTCTATATTTCTCGTTCACCCGTGTCGTGGTTTTTGTAATCTAATAATCATCCTCTAAAAACGTTTTCTTGTAGAAAAAAAATGGGATGATTTTCGGCCTCCTTTCTCATGTCTTTTTGAAAGTTGTATCTTGGCGAATAGATCAAACAACTTCGCGTTCGACCATCTCTGTTAGAGGTGTGGACAATGGGCGAAGGAGGTGGTTCTAGAGAAATGGCTGTCAAGAAGGGTGTTCTGGGTGATATAACCAACATTAATGGCAAGAGAAGGTTATCTTTGGATTTAGAAACAAATGTTGCAAGACACAATGTTGGCAGGAAAGGGGGAGGACTTAAAGATGCCAGTTTTGATGAACAATTAGCTGGAGATGCAAGGGCTTCCATGAAACGGAAGGACAAAATCGATGGTGTAGCTGACTTTTTGGTTGATGGTAAAGGGAAAGGCCTCTATTCCTTTGATTCTAAGCAGGCATGTCAACTTGTGACTTCGGATTCTAAAGGAATCTTTGTCTATGGGTTTACTGAAGTTGACAAGTTAGGGCAAGGCTACAGTGATTTTGAGTCTGTGCCTGCCCATTGTGATAAATCAAGTGAGACAAATACCGAAGACGACTGTCTAGAGGATGATGAGACTGATAGTGCTGATTCCTTCAGATATTCCTTTCGGGCTAAAAATGATGTCAGTAAATCTGCTACTTCAAATTGTTCTGGTTTGCATTTTGCAGCAGTAAAAGAAGGCAATGTTGACAGTGGTGAAGCTCCCAGCAATGTTCCACTAGGTAAATCAGGCTTCTCGAAGTGCTTGAAGCCGTCTGGGTCACCGGATATCAAAGTAGCTGATGGGCCAGATAAATCAGGCTTCTCGAAGTGCTTGAAGCCGTCGCGGTCATCGGATATTAAAGTAGATGATGGTTCAGATCCTATTAATGGTATTTCAAATTGCAGTGAGATCAGCATGCCAGAAAAATCTTGTAAATGTTCCTTTTGTCTCAAAGGCAAGTTCCAATCCCTACCTTTCTGATGGATCAAGTGTGGACATTATATAGGTTGTACTATTTACCAATTGAAAATTTTCTATAATAATTTATGTATTTGTTGTCTGATTATGGTTTGTCATGTCAATGTTATGTCATCAGCTGCTTACATGTGGGCAGACCTACACTATCAGGATGCTCGAGGAAGACTTGCTGGTAAGCTTGTGCTATGCATCCATGGAATACATAGAGACAAGCTAGATTTTTTTTGTGTGTGTGTGTGTGTGTGTGTGTAATTCTTCCTTCACAATTGTTTTAGAAGGAAACATATAGTTATATTGATTTTTTGTACCTTGTTGCGTTTATTAACTTCACATGTTTGTCTGTAGCATTGAAGAAAAGCAAAAGGCTTGCGAGGACCTTAGAAGTAAGAAGTTGCAGCAGTAACCATAACATCAAAGCCATTCAACAGAGCACAAAAAGATCGTCTGAATTGGAATTTGAATTAACTCAACAGTGGAGATCACTCTTCCTTCGAACAGAGAATGCCCTTGTGCTTGAAACAGCCCAGCTTGTAAGTCATCTTGGCCTCCTTTCTTTTGATTTGTCTACTCATTACATGGTAAGAATCTTGGTAGTGTCATAAACATATTTAACACCAAGGATTTCTCAAAGGCTTTGGATAGGAATCTGATGTAGCTTAAGAAATTTTAGACATCTTGAGTGAAAAGATTTTGTTTTTTTTTCAAACAAGTTATACATCTACCATTTCTTATACTATTGTATAAATGCCATAAATGATAAAACAATCTCATAGGCCCCCTTGATTATACATTTGATGCTCTTTTGCTACATGTCAGTCACCTTGGCTCTCTGTCTCTAGTTTATCAAGAAAGAAAAGGAAACTGCATTCTTTGTCCAACAGATTTGCTTTTGGTTGGCTATTGGTGGTCTGATTTGTTTGATGATATGTTTCTCATTATTATGAGTGATAATTAGCATTTAGGAATTGTTTATTATCCTATATTAGACTGTCATTTCATTCAGTTCACATATAAAAAATAATTAGTCCTGGTAAAAAGAATCTTTAAGAGTGAATATTAAATTTTCTCACATTATAAGAGAAAAGAGGTACCTCACATTACAATGGGGAGGGAGGCCACCATGACCTGGTAATAATTGGAAATGTTTATCCTAGTATGGCCATTCAATAAATGGCAGTTTGTTTTTTCAAATTTGTTCTGAAGCTTCTCACAAACAAAGAATCTGTTTGTCTACTCTAAAGTCTAATATCCCAAGGCTACTCTCCTCCCCTCCTCTCCTTCTTTTCTCCACCTTATAATCCACTAATTAGCCAACACAGCTTGGATTTTCATTCATTGGCTAATACGGCCTGACATTTCAATTGTATCATTGAATGTTGAATCTGTTTTTCATTTTTGGATGCTTTAGTGATGAGATAATGTTAAAATGGTTAATACATAATTAAAATCATTAATGATTAATAAATAAAATTTAAGGATATTATAAAGTGGCACTTTAGAAATAAAGAAGATAGCTAAGAAGAAAAGATGGAATTTCTTCCCCTTTTATTTCTTTTCCTTTCATTTATACACACACACACACACATATTATATGCTTCTTAATTACTAGAGTTCCACAAAAAAAAAATATTTCCGAAGTTTTATGATTTATAATTTCACGTAATGTTTTCTCTACTCATAATATTCTTAATAAAATGTATTAGTAATATGAGTATTATCTACTGCTCATGATGTATCAGAAAGTGCTGCCTCTTGACTCTTGTAACAACCTTGCTAAGTGATGTGCAAGGATAGTGCTTTCCGTTCTTTGTGCATTAGTGCAAGTGCTACGATACTGCTTCTCATGACAACCTCATTTAGGTGAACATCATCCAAATGCAAGATTTAAGTTATGCTTATTAACTGGATTAGGGGTATAGGGAATAAATTTGGCACTTCACACTCATTATCTTAGCAACCATGAGATCCTTTTACACAGTTGTGTAAATCTTTAAATAAGCAAAGCACATGTTTGTTCATGGTTCATTCCTAGTTCAATAGGTATCCAAAAGAAGTGATTTGGGACAAGAGGTGAAAAATGTGGACCAGGAAGGCATGTAGGAGAGAGTGATTGAAATTGCAATGTCTCTAAGCCTGTTGTAGTTCATCAAGGTTATATTCATCTTTGGTAGAAACCCTATTAGTTTTTTCATTTTTAGTTTGAGCATGCAAACCCCTCTAAGCTTTATAGACCCCTCTAAGCTTTATCTATAAATCTCAGATGTCTGAGTGTTATTAATATTTAAGAAAAGGGGGTCATTAGTTTTACGTGATGATAGACTTTTTGACAATGTTAAGCTGTGTTAACTTCAAAGTTCCATTTGCTTGTATGTTGTTGAGCTTATTTCTTGTCTGGCCTCTGCAGCATACCAACTTTCTCAGGTTGAAAGAGCTGAGGGAGATATGCAAGAGAGATTTGGAGACCATCAGCATGGTTCCCTCAGACAAATAAATCCAAGTCTGTCAGTTGAAATAAATTAAGTTGATTTGCAAGGAAGATTGAAATGGAGCATCAATTGAAATTTTCACCGAAGAATGGATTTGATTCTGTAAGATTATTTTTAAAATGTATGTAACATTTGCTGGTCATATTTATCAGATTGCTTAATGAAGTTAACATTCTCTAAGCAATTGTTTATCATATGTCCTCTTTCTTAGCACAAGGTTTCTTGAAATATTGATGATCCATGAAGCATCTCATACTACTTGTATTCTTTCTTTAGGATTGGTCAATTTGTCTCTTGGTTGTGCATATATCATTTGTTTGTAAATATCAATTAATAAAGGAATATTAGAAATTGTAGCTAAAAAGAAAGGTGATGAATTTGAATGGAAATCTTGAAGATGCCAGAAACAAATACATAATATCCTGGTGAGATAAGAGAATTTATTAGTATTACTGATGAAGTAAGCCACATAAAGCTCAGTTTAAGTATCATCTTAACCCAATTCGAGCAAGTTATTCATAATTTTTACAATAAAATACCATCGTTAAAGAACATTTGGACTAGAGAAGATTAGTCACAATAAACCTTTGAATATATGGGAATCCAACAATGGGGAAGGACATGATGAAAAAGGATTGCTTTAACTTGAAATACATCTAATCTTATCTTATATATCTAATTTGGTCTGTCAAGAACTTTAAATAGCTTCTGTTTCTTGAATCAGCCGCTCATAATTCATATTGTATGCTTCTACTATCTATAATCTAGAAAGAGAAAGGCAAAGTAGTAACTGTAAAGAATAAATTGCATCCATTGTCATACCATATATATACATTTTTTGCATATGATAAACCAGACATTTATTTTTGTAAATAGTAAACAATTGTGTTTTCACCCGAATATTCTTAAACATCACTATCGCGAGCTCTCATAAACTTGATGAGTAGGGGTTTTAACATTGTCTTATCTTCTCATAATTTAAGGAGGAAAAAAGGGGAAAAGAAAGAGGATTTTTAATGTGATAATCCAAACCATTAATACTAGAAAGGAAAAAAAGAAAAGGCAAGAAGCGGATTTTTTTTTGGGTCTACCTACATTGCAATTTCCTATATTTTTCGCAATTTAGAAAGCAACAGAAGGCAAGACGTAATTTAAATGGAAATATATCTTCGACAAACTTTTACTCACCCGAGACAGGCCCCACTAACCAAAAATACCCGTCTCTGCAGTGTGATGGACCCACGAAGCTCAGTGCAACCCCCGGATCCGCTATCGGTTTCCTTATCGACGCGAATTTTGGAGCGATCATTAACCGTCCGGTTGAAGAATCCATCGAGATTCGTGCAGATCCACTCTTCCTTTTTCTTTAGTCTCGCCTCCGGCGACTGCTTTGACCTTCTCCCTGCAAAGGGCGATCCTTTTCTCCCGGGCGGCCGTTTCGGCAGCGTCCATTAGCCGCGACGTGGGCTCTCGACTGTCGGATTCGCCAGAGGTAATCCCTGCTCTGCTATGCCTCTCAGAAAGGCTCACTTTTTTCCTTCGTTGTCCTGCGTTCCTTAATCCCTGTGCCCTCTCGTTGTTCCACCTGGAGTTCACGGGACTGATCTCTCTCTCTCTCTCTCTCTCTTCAGTGAATCACGTAAATTTGGGGCTCGCTTGGTTCGTATCCCGCGCTCAAATCATCGGTCGACGATGAAAAGTGTGATCTATGATGATTCTGGTTTTGGTTTTCTATGCCTTCATTTCTATACCCATGTTCGACAGCGGGCTCGTTTTCACTCATTGTCTGCAAAATGATTCGATGATATGCGAAAAAAAAGGCAGTTTGATGATTCTTGGAGCGCATATTTTCATTTGGACGGAACTCCTGATTCATTGATTAATTGGGAAAATTTTGGGCTGTGGAAATGGCTCAGTAAATTATCTGCGTCTGAGTTCTAATTTTTGGTAGATAAGGAAAAGAGACATAACAACAAATTCCTCTGTCTTATTAAAGCTTTCAGGATTGGGTTTAATGGTAAAAGAACATCACATTGAAGATAAATATACCGATAGGTGTTGATATCCAAGACCAGCAATGAAGATAAATATACCAATAGGTGACTAATGATCAACCCTCGTGATCCAAGATGCTGCTTCTAAAGTCAAGCCTTCTTCGTGTAAGAGAAGTGGCTTGTTAAGCATGATGATTCATTGTAAGACAATTCTTGTCCACTGGAATAGATAGCCAGTGTTGGCAAGACAGATTTTCATTGTAAGAGAAGTGGCTTGTCAAGGATGATGATTCAATGATTTATTTGTGCAGTTGAAGTGGATTATCATTGTGGATGGTGAGAAACCAGTCAAGTATTAGTTGGGTAATTAGAACGACTACAATGTTGGGATGGTGTAACTTGGATCTATGATGATGATCCTCAAGAATATAAGACCACGTTTCAATCCTTATCTTGGTGAACTTTGAGTATCTAGGTATATGACCGAGTTCATGGGATAGTGCAAGGTGATTTTAATCTTTGATTAGCTTTGATTTTCTAATATCCAACCTATGGTATTGCAATATTTCCACATCTGGACAGAGAAAGAAAAGAGTTATTGAATTAAAATTATAAAGGAATATTTGTTCCATGACACTTTGCAATATTTGTTCAAATTATAAAGGAATTAAAATCATGAGTCATATTTTAGAAAAGAGTTATCGAAAGTAGGATAATATTTGAAACAAATATCTCTGAAAATCAATTTGATTTTATGTCTGGAAGATCAACCATAAAAGCTATTTATTTATTAAGACAATTAATGGAAAAGTATAAAGAGAAAAAGAAATATTTGCATATGGTTTTTATAGACTTAGAGAAATCCTATGATAGAATTCCTAGAGATCTTTTTATGGTGGGTTTTAGAAAAGAAAGGTATATCTACTAATTATATTAATGTTATTAAATATATGTATGATGATGTAGGTACTAGTTTTAGAACTATAAGAGTGTGTCTATTGAGTTTCCTATTAACCTAGGATTATATCAAGGATTTGCATTAAGTCCCTACCTTTTCACATTGATATTAGATGAATTTATTAGTCACTTATATAATAGACCTCTCTGATGTATGTTATTTGATGATAATATTGTTTTAGTTGATAAGAGCCTAAGTGGAATTAATTATAAACTTGAGATATGGAAGTAAGCCTTAGAAACTAAAGGTTTAAGATTAAGTAGGACTAAAATCGAATATATAAAATGTAATCATAGTGATTTTAAAATAGACAGAAGAATATAGTTAAATTGGATGGATAAGAAGTCATAAGTAAAAATTTTAGGAATCTTGGATCAATTATTCAACAAGATGGAGAAATTGATGAAGATATTATTCATAGAATAAAGATAAGATGGTTAAAATGGTGAGGTCCATCCGGAGTCTTGTGTGATCATCAGATACCTGTGAGGTTAAAAGAAAAAATTTATAAGACAATTGCGAGACCAACAATGCTTTATGGATCTGAGTGTTGGCCAGTAAAGAAACAATATACACAAAAAGTTTGTGTTATCGAAATGAGAATACTGAGATAGATGTGCGGAGTTACTAAGAAAGATATGAAAAAATATTTTATCTTCGTGAACAACCAAGTATCGCCTCGATAGGAGATAAGATGAGAGAAAATTATTCAAGATGATACGAGCATGTACTTAGAAAACCTTCGAATGCGGTAGTCAGAAGAGGTGAAATGATTAATATTAGTGATACGAGGAAAGGTAGAAAAAAATCTAAAAGGACTTTAATAGAAAATATAAATAAATATTTAAGTATTCTGAATTTAACTAAACATATGGGTTTTTACAAATCTCAATGGCTATAAAAGATCCATGCAGTTGACCCCAAATATTTGGAATTTACGATTTTGTTGTTGTTGTTGTAGAATGGTGTTTTAAGTATCTAATACTTTGAGGATCCAAATCTTTAATTTTGCAATCTTACAGGGTTATATATGCAATAAAATCCTTTCTGTGGTTTTATTCTTTTATTTTGGAGATCAGCTCCTCATTGATTCTTCTGTACTTCATTTGTCCAGGAAACCTCCAAAGAAGTATGAGTTCAGTGATGTATGAGGCCATTGGTTCTGAAGAGAGTTCATTCTCTGAAGAGCAAAGGGCAAAGGTAACTATGATCAACAACATGATCATCTTTCTTTTCTTAATTTAAAACAAGAAAAATGAATGTTTTAGTTGCCTTATGTATTATGTGTTCTAGATAAATGAAGTGAGGGCATCCTTAGGAAAATTGCCAGACAAGTTATTTCTTTATTCTTCCGATGCATCGCTTGCAAGATATTTAACAGCAAGGAACTGGAATGTGAAGAAGACAACTAAAATGCTGAATGACACTTTGAAATGGCGGCTTGAATACAAGCCAGAAGAAATTCGTTGGGTGAGTCTTAGAAATTCATCTGGATTTGCATGAAAATTATAGTTTGACATAGTTTGTCATTACTTCTGACAGATTTCTGTGCATATAGCTAACTTGTAATTTCTGGTTACTGTCATTGAGCATTTGGTTTTCTCTCTTTCCTTTCTGGCATGAAACTTGTATTACCACATCATGTCTGCAAATCTTCATCTTTCTTTTATCTTGTTCTTTTTCGCTGAACTTGGTTATTTCTAGGATGAAGTGGCCCATGAAGCTGAGACAGGAAAAATTTACCGATCAAGTTACTCAGACAAGTATGGGAGAAGCATTCTTGTAATGAGACCCGGTTGCCAGGTTCGATGAATCTACTTCCATTGCTTGTTTCCATCTTACAGAGACTACTAGTCACATGACTTTTGCAAGTTGATGTTTACTAACTTGATTCCTTATTTTTTAACTTCAGAACACAAAATCGACCAAGGGTCAAATTAGATACTTGGTATACTGTATGGAGAATGCAATTCTAAATCTGCCACCTGATCAGGAACAGATGGTTTGGGTCATCGATTTCCAGGAGTTCAACTTGTCAAATATATCATTAAAGGTCACAAAAGAAACAGCTGATGTCTTGCAAAACCATTATCCAGAAAGACTAGCCTTAGCAATACTCTACAATCCCCCAAAGTTCTTTGAGCCTTTTTGGATGGTGAGTATCTTTTCTGAAGAAAGAATAATAGATCTTCCAATAGATTCATGTAAGGTTATGAGCATTTATCTAGACTAATAAGTTTCATGTAACCTAAAACCGCATTGTCTATGTTGTTTTAAGTTTTCCAAGATTGTTTGGCAGATGGCGAAACCCTTTCTGGAGCCAAAGACCTACAAAAAAGTTAAATTTGTGTACTCCGATGACAATGGCACCAAGAAGATCATGGAGGACCTTTTCAATGTGGATGAACTTGATTGTGCATTTGGGGGTAACAACCAAGTCAGTTTTAACATCGATGATTATGCTGCCAGGATGAGAGAAGACGACAAGCGGATGCCTTTGTTGTGGAAACGATCAAATTCTTCATCGTCCGACAAACAGTTGCCGGCGACCACACCTGATGTTAGTCTTGGTAAGTCAGCATCAGACTCGGATGAACCTGAGAAAGAAATTGATGGCCAGGTCAGAAATAACTGAGATGATAACTTTCCCTGAGGAAGGCGTAGCAGATCGGAATGGGTGCATTCCATGAAAATATTAGCAAAGGAAGATATTGATGGTGTATGAATAGATGATTTGAGTTGTTGATATTGGCACTGTAAGCTACTATGTCAGTTGTGAATAATACTACTGCAAACTTCAAATCAGCTTAAAAGTTCTTATGAAAAAATAGTACATGGTGCATCAACTTTTTGGATGGGAAAAAAAATTTGACAGCTTTCTCACCTTTGCTTAACAAAAATTTGCAAGTATACCACTGTAGAAAATGTAAGTGACTGCTCCATTAAGATCATACAGGATGTTGAATCAACTATGCAACAGTAGTTGTTGAGAAGGGCTATGGCTTTTTGGAGATGATGAATTTACCCCCACTATGGATGTGTAAAAGCCTAGTGGTATTGCAACATATAAAGATGATGATCATATGCTGGAGATATCAGTATTGTCCAATAGAGGACTAAGTGCATTGTGATTACAGCAACTGCTACTGACTGATGACTGTGAGCATACCTAAAATTCCAGTGACTTGTTGCTCCAAGTATGCAGTTTTTCTGCAAGCAATCTGGTGATCTCTATGGCTCCTATGTGCAGCGTGGTGCTCCATTGGAGTTCAGTCCTGCAGTGCAGTGCAGAAACATCACAGGGTCATTGTCACACTTTATGATGCAAAGCAGACACAAAGGTGGAAGTGCTGCACCATGGTGTAAAAGCTTTATGCTTCTGAGAGACTTTTGATCCCACTGGTGATGTCATGAACTAATAAAGTCTTGTTCAAGTGGGTGGCCAATGTGTCACCTAGCCTCATGGAACTTTAGATGTTTGCAGTAAAGCAAGGATTTGTGGATGGCGATCATTGCCCTATAGAATTTGCAGCATCATACCTAAACCATATCTTTATGACTGTGTCTTCTGTGTCGACAGTCTGCCTCAGAACTTTGGGTTCAGAGCTGTGAATGCTCTGATTATGATGTGAAGAAGAGAAAGTGGGTGAATAAATAGTCTTCCTCAGCTATGCCAATATCTATTCGAATAGCTTCAAAGTTTACAGGATTAATACCCAAAACAATGTATTACATCACATCACTTATTCTTTAATCCTTTTAGATTGGAAGGCTCCATGACATCTGACATTGTCTCGAGTGATGTCAACCTATCTCTGTGTACCACCACATTATTTATATATATATATATATATATATATATATAGAGAGAGAGAGAGAGAGAGAGAGAGAGAGAGAGAGAGAGTAGATACATTGTATATAATTATGAAGACAAAGATAGTAGTACAAATGGGACCAGTTCTTGGGTAGTCTCAAACCATCACATCAGGTCTTGACTCGCACAACAGGGGCTTCCATCCATGGCAGTATCGACAACTTAGGCTCATGTACTGTATCTTATACACCAATCCATGTCATGCTTGGCATGTTTCTTATTACTTCCCTATACAGCCGAATGATATGAACTCAAATCTATGGAAGAGCATACCTCAAAATAGTCAATATATTTGTCGATTCCATTGGGAACAACAAACAAATTTTACCCCAATAATTTGATGCCAAACTCCATGTAATCGTTGATAGCGAACCCACACCAACTCCCAAGTGATATTTTAATGTTCTTATTAAAAATACTATATAAAATAACTCCAATCCAAATCTATTTGATGATGATAAATTATATATAAAAAATTAATATTTTAGATGCACAAAAAGTAATGAATATGTGAGTAGACCATATGTTCGACTAAACTCCACCATTTCATCTTCCCCATTTGTTTCCTTCTCTGCTTCGTCACATAGGTACAAAAATGTCGAAACATGATCAACCCACATCACCACCACATCAATGGGTTCCGTCTCTAATCTCTCCTACAAGAATCAAGAAGAAAAAAAATGCATACGTTCGTATTAATCGTTGTCACCAACTCATCCATGAGTTCAAAGTCAATAAATTATGAAGTGGAAAATAGATTTTCTACACACATAATAATGAGTATGCTTCATTTGTCCGATCTCTATACTTCGTGTCTTTACGTGCATAAATATGAATCATATTTGATCTCATGTAGAAATCACGTAAGCATAATTCTAATAATCCAATGAAAACAAATTGGAGTAGAAGCTCACAAGAATACCATTTATACACCAAAAGGATGATGGTGTTATATAAGAACAAAACACCCATTGCAAGCGAGAGAACGATTGGTAATAGATGCTCAAAATGGAGACTTGTAGTAGTAGTAGTACACAAATGAATCATGCCACGTTGTCAAACTTGACTCGTTCTAATCATACATTCCCCGTGTCGAGTTCATCAATGCCATCTCTTAAGATCACTTAAATGTGGTTCGATGCGTTCGGGTCGAGTTCCAATATCAAGACAAAGAAAGAGGGGATAGACGGTTAAAAAGACGGATCATCAATATTGAACGGTCCAGATCTATTCTTTTCTCTTTTATCTCCCCCACACGCGGTTTCTGAAACCCCCACTCCCTCCTCTGCTCTCTCTCTCTCTATCTCTCTCTCTCTCTCTGGTCAGTGGTCCCGTCACCGCCTCCTCGCCGCAGCTTCCTTCCCTCCCAAAGAAGAGGAGAGGAGACGAAGATGTTGCTGGGGAAGCGTCCGAGGCCTCCGATGAGGCGGACCACGAGCTCGACGGAGTTCGATGCCGGCGTCCTCTTCGACGTGGAGCCCCCCGAGCCGTTCGCTCAGGACGGGATCGGTAGCCGTCACCTTGAGCCACGGCACGGCGCGACGGAGGTGGCGCAGAGGACGGCGGGGACCGGGGCGGACTGGCGGGCGGCGAGCTACGTGGGGTCCATGCTGTCTCCCCGCGGCGGCGTGCACAGGAGGAACTCCGGCGACTTCGAGGCCGCGGCGAGGACGGCGCCCTTCTTGAGGGCCTGCGGCCTCTGCAACCGCCGCCTCGGACCCGGCCGCGATGCTTACATGTATAGGTACTTCTCTACTAAAAGTTCCTTTTTTTCTTTTTGGTTTGCTTGATGATTTCCAGTTCAAAGATCGATTTTTCCCCCACCTAAACTTAAGTAATCGATTATTCTTTTCTCTGTACATACTCGTCAATGGTTTTTCTGCTTGTATATTTTATTTTGGTTCTTTAAATGTTTACTTTTGTTCATCTTGATATGCTACTCGGTTTCATCGTCTCTGTTTTTACAAGTTCTAATTTTGTTGATGGTTCGAGGAGTTTTAGTTTCAACTTAATTGTTTTTCTTCTATATTTTGATGATTATTATAACTGTCTATTTTCTTGATTTGTTTGTTTGAATAGATTTACGAAAATCTAATTAGTTGTACCATAGCTACTGTAGATAGATAGGAAGTTTCTGCTTCAGATCTCATTGGATTTTGTAATGAGTTACAGATCTTATCTTTAATTACCTTCCTTTGAGGAAGAATTTGATTTATCGTAATTCCAGACTTCCATACATCATCTTATTACCCAGTCTGCACTAATCATGTCTGTGTTTTGGATCCATGATATTTGAATCTCATCAACTTCCTTTTCCTCATTAGTCATCTTATATATGTCTTTCCCTGCATTTTAATTCACTACTGTTATAAGCTACATGTCTTGTACAGATTCATATTAATTCAACAGGAGAAAGTATTAGACTTGAGCAACTTCCATGTGATCATATCATTGTTTGGTTCCATGATATTTGCATCTCAGCAACTTCCTTTTCCTCATAATTCAAGAAATCTTTTTTTCCTTTCCATCCATGCTTCTTAGTGTTAAGAGTTTCATGTCTTATACAAATGCAAAGTAAATAAATAGTGTTATGAGTTGCATGTCTTATAAATGAAAAAAAAAAAAGCTGATTGGTCTTTCATATATTCTCTGGGGCTAAGACCTAATTTTCTCATGTGATTCAGATGTTTATGGAATTGGCATTAAATGTTTGGACTGTGTTCCTACAAGTTCTCTATGTGCATGTATATTCTCTTGCATTTTGCAGGGGTGAAGTTGCATTCTGTAGCCTCGAATGTCGTCAGCAGCAAATGAACCTAGACGAACAAAGAGAGAAATGCTCCCCGACTTCCATGAAGGATACACCCTCTCCTACCGATGACACTGAACAATCTGGCAATGGCGGAACAGCCACGGCTGCTTAAGCTTTTGGCTTCTTTGTTTATAGAATTCGCAAAGGCTCCTAAGAAAAGATTGCAAATGTTATAATGCAATCAGATGAATGTTGTGGGGTTTTATGGGTTTCCAGCATCAACAAACTCATTAGGATAAGAAGTGTAGACTCGATGTTGTTGTGTTTTCAATCTTCTTGGCTTTTATGAGAAGTAATATGAGACCCTACACTCTCTTCTAGATTCCTCTGTTCCTCTGTAAAATGATACTCTCTTTTTTTAATGGAATGGTTATCTACCTTTTGAGTTTTGTTAGAATCAAATGATTCCCCATTCTTCACTTTGATTCCTGATGATTTCTCGCTGATGTTTGTTTAGGTCAATGAATGATTTGAGTGAAGATAAGAAAAAACATCCTTTTCCATGAGAATCTCCAACCTTTGTGTTAAGTGTCATTGTAATGGTGATACCTGCCTGGAAGAAGATGGTTTTCTTTTAGTTTTGAGCAGATCTCAATCGTATGTTCTATTAGGTGATCATATTTGGCCTTCCAGTTTAATTGGCAGATGGTTATTATCAATCAGGTGATTTATGAATGGCAATCAAGAGATCTTTTCAGGAATATTATTGTAGAGCCAACAAAAAATGGACTGGAGTTACAAGCTGTTGAGAATAGAATATGAGCATATTATCTTGAAGACAAAAGTTGAATGAAGACATCAAGGACATGTAATTCTGCTTATAAGAAAATTATTATTATTATTACCAAGTCTTAATCATATGTATAAATTATACTTCCTCATATTGGTCTTCTAGATAATTGCATTATCAATTAGGTGATTTCTATATGGTAACCTTCTTGTGTATCCATTCTGAACATTTGCTTATTTGCTAAAGAAAAGATGGGATGAGTACATTGTTCTTTCAATCAAGGTTCGCTGTATCGTATCGTACCAGTGTTTCGACCCGGGCTCGGTACAGTACCGGTGTACCGGGCGGTACATCAGGCCCTACCGGTGTTTCGACCCGGGCTCGGTACGGTACGATACCGGTGTACCGGGTG